CCGCCGACATTCAAAACGATACTATGCCTAACAATGCTTCATCCAGTTAGAACATCAATCTCACCAAAATCACAGGGGGGGGCCGCTGCACTGTTGACTCGTGCTGAAAAAACAAGGCAAGCAGGTACAATTACTAAACAAAATGCTAGGTATCAAGGCGCCAGCGTGTTAGCGTCGTCTCATAAAATTATAGCGTTCAGATACAAACAGTCCGTGAGTAAAAAGTATGTTCTATTCCGAGAATGAGTGTAATTAATTCGTCTTGTGCTTTGATCCCTTTGGAATGCTTGGCTGGATCAACCGTTGGGCGAACAGACGGTGTGAGATCTACGACGGGCCATCGCGAGCATCTTGATCATAAATGACTGAAAATAATACCAAGGCACTAAAATAAGGGGCTGTAGAGGAAAAAAAAAAGGGATCCACGATTTGCCGTGATCTGCAGCAGTGAGTTGGAGTAAGCTTAGCGGGGAACCCAATGACTCGGTCAATTTTGCACCGACGAGGGTCAGGGGATTGGAGCCCAATGCGATAAAGCAAGGAGGCGGCCGATTTGCGAATATCTGAGCAAGGATTTGGGCCTGAAACTGTGGTGATTTGCTTTTTGGATGACGCTTAGACTGCATTGAAGCGAGAGATTCTTCCATCATCTGGGGTACAGCGATGTCTCACTGATACCCTCACGATGCAAAGACACTACGTCTTATTGCTCATGCAAACACTCTTGGCACGCGATGTTTCCAACGAAGCCATTTTAGCATTCATCTTGTATTCCCACGATTCAGGGGCCATCCATGAAATATACTTTCTTAGCTGTTTGTCCATCTCATCTGGTCTCCCAGTCTAGCTCCCCAGCCTAGTCTCGGGGCGACAGAAATACGAGACACCTTCTCAACCACTCACAGCACACTGCAATGAAGCCAGATTTGCTCTTGCTTTTATTTTGTCTCCCCGCCGGCATCTAGTTAGTCTGGTCCGTACTCTTGCGCCGTTAGGTCCCAACGCAAGCCACTTGAGCCTCCAATGGTGATCGGCAGTACCTCTGGCTAGAGAACTAAAAACAGGGGCTTTTGGTAGCTAGTCAGTTTACTACCGGGACTACTGCATTTGCTGCAGATTCTGCAAGCCTGTTTCTTAAATCCAAGCAAGGAGCCTGTTCACTTTCCTTTTTTCCACATTCCTTTTTCAGCTGTTGCATTATCCGTTTACAGCAGCTGCATATCATTGTTTCTTTTTTCCTCTATTCTTCTCGACAGTAAGGCAAGACTGACGTCAATATGACAGGAAGAGGCTTCCTCGTCCCTGACAACTATGTCGACGACCTTCCCAATGAGACCGACATGAACATCGCCTCCATCGCCTGGGGTTTGTCGCTGGGCATCACGCTCTTCAACATGGCAAAGGCGATCCGGCAGACCAGATCTGCGTGGAACCGAAGGAAGAGGATTACCAGTTACATTGCGTTGGTTTGGGCGGAGATCATCTCGAGTTTCATCCTGGGTGTAATGTGTTGGTTCTATCTTCGGGGTTACATCGAGCCGAGCATGCAGTTCTTCTTCTTCATCAGTGAGAACACCCGATATTGAGGAGACGGGAGTTTGTGCTAACGGGTCGTAGTTGTCTGGTGGTCAACACAGGTCCAGTGTCTTATCCAAATCATCATCAACCGAGTCTCGCTATTGATGGTTGTTCGATCCAACGGTACCAAGCTGAAATGGCTCTGCTTCCTTATTCTATTCGCCGTCAACATCAGCGTGTTCTGCATCTGGGTCCCCGCTCGACTACAGATTAGCGAGTCTTATATCCACTTGAACAACATCTGGGATCGTTGCGAGAAGGTGATTTTCGCTATCATGGATGCTCTTCTTAACTTCTACTTCATCTATGTCGTCAAGCAGCGACTTGTTGCCAACGGTCTGCAGAAGTACACTCGTCTTTATCAGATGAACATGTTCTTGTGTGGTATTTCCATTGCTTTGGATGTGCTGCTTATTGGAATGATGTCCCTGCCCAACGGCTTTGTGTAAGTCCGATCACCAGCCGAGTGTGTCTACATATACTGACTCTCCCCAGTTACATTCAATTCCATCCCCTCGTCTACCTACTCAAGCTTCACATCGAGATGAACATGGCCGATCTTATCGGCAAGGTCGTTCGCGCCGGCAACAACGACCAGCGTGGCGGCCACGACTACTCCTCACGATCACGAACGACCGGAACATCGCGACCTCACGGCACGCGATTCGGTCAAACTCTTGCCAGCGCCCATCACCGAACACACATTGAGCTCGGCGAGGAGGACGAGTATGAGCTCAAGGAGCGTGAGAAGATTGAGGGTATCAAGAAGACCGTCGTCACGCAGATTGTGCATCAGGGTCAACAGCAGGATGACGATAGTGAATCTACTGCTGAGGAACATAACGATCGTGCTGTTAGCGAGGCTAGCTCGACTAAGCATTTGCACCAGAGGAATTATAGCGGTGCGTAGAAGTGATGTGGCATGTAGAGGATTATACACGAAAGGGAAATACCCAATAGAATATTTATATAGATTTTTTTAATGTGTAATGAATGGCCAAAGGCTTATTGATCTTCAAATCTGCCCAATATTGATTTCTCCGATGCCTCAATATCGTGTAGTTGATGATTGATTGTGAAGTTGATATTATTTAATCTATGACTCTCCATGAAGATAGCAGTCAATGGACATCAGTGGAGGTCTACAGCGAATGACCTCTCCCGGATCTCTCCGACCCCGCCGAAGTAACCGTAGCGTCGGCGAAAGATCCAAGCCACATTCAACCCAACAATCAATCAATCCAGCTAATCTAGTCAAGACGTTGCAGGATTCTAGGCAACCAGACTCAAAACTCCTTAGATAAAACAGGGTCTACCCTCCATCATGACTCTCGCCGCGCGTCCCGTGATTTTAGCACTGAACTAACAGATCTAAGCTATCTTCTCCCCGGTCCAATGGTTTCAGTAGTGCAAAGCCTCATTGAGCTTGAGTGCTTATTGGCCAGGTTTACGATGTACGCTGGATACGCTACGATACGCTTGCTTACATACGCTGGAGTATGTGATTGGTCAGTTGGGATTATTTGTCATTTGAGTTGAGTGCTGAAGTGTCGTAGAGGAAGGTATCGCCAACTGAGGCTATGCTGAGGGCATTGTCGCATACGCAGATTTCCGCAAGATGGCATAATATCGTACTTGTAGACGCGATGTAGAAATCGAGATGTTTCCTATAAAGGCTCGAGATAGCATCATTTTCAATAAACAATCACTATATCTCACCACTAGCTCTCAAGACACTGCGACTCGAACCATTCCATCTCTGACTACTACACGAGAACATTCCATACCTTCATCCAACCAAAACACTCACTAAACAACAAAATGGGCCTTTTCAAGACTGCCGATCTTCGTGAGGAATGCGAAAAGAGCGCTCGTATCCTCAAGAGCTTCGTCGGTACGTACCAACTTCTCTTACTCATCTTCACCATCTAACCAACAACAGATAAGAGCAAAATCCCCTCAAACGTCATCCGCAACGCCAAAGGCCTTGCCATCTTTACCGGCTTCCGCGCAGGAATGTACTTCGCCGGCGCAGGCGGCTCTGGCATTGTAATCGCCCGTCTCCCCGACGGATCATGGTCATCCCCCTCTGTTTTCTCCGTCCGCAGCGGTAGTGTCGGCCTCGTGTACGGTATAGACGTCTACGACTGTATCTGTGTCCTCAACACCCAAGAAGCAGTTGACGCTTATAAAAAGTCCGAGGTCAACCTTGGAGGCGCAGTTGCTCTTGCAGCTGGACCACTTGGAGGAAACGTCAACTTGGGAGAGGTGAAGCCTGTGTGGACATATACCAAGTCCCGTGGTATTTATGGTGGTTTGACTGTTGATGGGACGGTTATCAAGGAGAAGCGAGATGTGAACTCCGAGTTTTATGGAGCGGAGTTTTCGTCGGCGCAGATTCTGGAGGGTAAGGTTAACGGGGGTTGGTCGCCGAGAATTGTTGAGTTGCTGGAGGTTGTTAAGACGGCAGAGGGCAAGACCGCCGATAAGAGTGTTTTGCAGAGGATCAGCACTGAGCCCACTCCTGGTGACTTAATGGAGTAGATTACGGGAGATGTTTTAGTGGCTTTCGGATCGGAACTTTTGGCGATAGACATGTAGAATTATTAACTTTGCATATAGTTAATAATTCTAAATATCTATAATAAACTATAAATTACTCAAACAGACTGTTTATTAACAGAGAGTGAATACCTTAAGGTTATAACTACCTTTAATCTATATATATATATATAACTACCCTTAATATTAATAGCTATAAGTTAAAATATATATAAAAAAAGATAGAGAGATAGATTATAGATATCTAAAATATAATTTAATACTTAAAATAAGTATTAATAAGTTAAAATTCTTAAGCTTTTAGTATCTTACTTTTAAATTTCTCTTTATTCTAAAAAAAGAATTTAACTATCTGTTATTAAATAGCTAATTTTTAAATTAATAATACATTTTAAAAATTAAATAGTAAATATAATTATTAAAAATAAGTTATTATAGTAATTTTATAAGGTCTTTAGATTACTAAGATGGAAATTTAATAAGCAGTCAATCTGTTTACTGAAACCTTCTCTTTTAGAAGCCCTATAGCTGTTAATATACCTTTCAGGCATTCTATATACTCTGAATCTAACTCTTTCTCTTAAGACTTGTATGGTGCCCTTAATATTGACCTCTACATACATCCTGACACTATACCTTTCCACCACTTCGTTTGAAAGATATCCGTATTCGCTTAAGGCAAGATACGTTTGATCGGAAGTCCCCATCTTAGTTAATTGCAAAAACTCCAACCAAATCCTCAATGCGATAACCCTTCTGGTCGTGATGATTGAAATGCCCTACCACTAGCCATATAATAGTATGAAAGGCTAAATATTTGAGGACTAGTAGAGAGCTGGCTCAAGAAGAAACGTGACCTACTAGTCCTCTATTCTCAGTATCTCATCGTCTTGCGTAGGGTCCACCACGTTTATCCAATCTTCCGCACCTTCGAGATAGACCGTCTCAAAAAGATTCTTCAAAATGTCACCGTGTGGCTCGATATTTAGCCAATTGTCTCCATCGCTTGACGACGGCAAGTCTCTTGTAGTGAAATTGAGATATGGCATTTCAGCCTGTTGATCCTGTGATCCAAGGGGCATCGAAAGGCCACACATTCTCTTCACTGAGCCGAGACCCTCAGATAAAGCACATGCCACTCCTGAATTAGAAGATGACAATGTAGTATCGTGAGGGGCAATATTGGTCTGAATGCCTAGAGACGGACCGTGAGTAAGCCCTAGTTTCGTATCAACTTTGAGCTTTTCCAAAGTACTTTCGGCATTGTTAGAACGCTCTTTTGAGTTCCCTTCCAAAGCCTTTTGTTCGAATCGAGTTTCTACTCGAGCCAGGAGTTCCAATACCACCGGACGTAGCTGATCAGCACAATCCTCTGGCATATCCTTAGTTTTCTGCACATTGGAAATGATATGCTGTCCCTCTTCTGCCCAAATACCCCTAATTATTCCTGTAATCTCTTTGAAAACGCCTTCATGATACGGATTCTGGCCATTATCGATATCGCCGAACAAGATCTTCCATATCTTGTCCCATTGACCCCTCGGTGACAAACCCCTCTCGAAACGGACCTTGATGGCATTATGTGTAGTGGGTGAGACGTCGTCAGTGTTTTCTGAAAGGTCCATTGAGCAATCCTGTTGCACAACATGTTCTTGGAATGGCTTTAGCGCTGAAAATCCCTTCAAACACTTCGGGCAAAAGTAATTCGCCATATGACGCCTCTTTAAGTGCTGCTTGACATCTGATATGCGAGGCATTTTGAGGCTGATACAGTCAAAATAACGTTCTGGATGCCTTCTGTAAAAGGGGCAGGCAAATGACTCGACGCATTTGTTGACGTCGTTGCTTTCTTCATCCCGACCACAGTCCTCATCAGCTTCAGCTGTCTTTTCCGATGTCCTAGTAGCGCGACTCTTCTTCTGAGGTGCTCTATTATCCCGAGCGGGCCTCTTCGAAGGATTTGATGCATTCTTGCTATCTGCAGGAGGCGATTTTTGTTTCATCAGCCCATCAAACGATTGCACCCGACATTCGGTAAATGGGAACAGAGAAGGACTTTTTGGTGTTTCTAAAAACATGTCCAAGTTCGACATGTCGGAGAACGCTTGAGCCCGCAGGGAAAGCATGCTGTCCACTGAAGAGACCCGATGTAGATCGCCACAATGCACTCGAGAACACAGAAGTTCGGAATTAGAAATATCTGTCTTACCCGCCCAGGAAGACTCTTCATGTCGTGGGGCAACCATTAGCCTTCTTGTATTGCAAAAAGTACGTCGATATATCTTACTTGATAGCTTTGACTGTAATGAAGTGTCAGACATGGGTCCTTGAGCTTGCGAACTCCATGCCAATGGTATCGTTGATCGCCTTCGGGGCTGTCGATATACGGACAAGGAAGCCATTGAATTCCCATTCCAGCTCGAGCCTTTATTGCTAACCAGTGGAGTAGCCCCATTGCCAACATTAGAATACCCATCGGAGAAGATATTTGGCACCGTAGGCTCAAAACTTCCAGCTTTGCGTTCAAGATTCATTTGCTGGTACTTAATAGATTCACTGCGTTCTAGTATGTGTATAAACGAAAAGCTTGAGTATCACAATGCCTCAGCGTAGATAGAAGGTGCGATGTTTTCGAAGATCAATGAAAATGGAAGTCGAAAACGAGGCAACAGGATGGGTTGAAAATGGAAGAATCAAAGTCACAAGACCGGCGAGACTGCCTTGCTAGGCCCTAAATTCATATGTATACACGGAGGGGTGTACGACATCAAGTAAGACACAGTGTGCAGATAGCTGAGACCTTAACCCTTTAGAGGGCCCAAAACCTGTAGGCAAACGTATGATAAGAGCCACTAAGACCCCAGTAACTTTATTGACCTTCTTAGATGCTCCTTGACAGATGTTAGTCCTAAAAGACATAGCTAAAGAGATAAGTCAAGCAAATATAGCCACGGCGTAGAGCCTAACATGTCCAACAATCAAAATATGAGAACAGGAACCTGGCTTTTTGTTACATGAGAACACCAATACGTAATTCTAATATACTGCAATGAATACATTGTAAAACAGAGGATATTATGACAACTTTAATTAAATACAAATCCCGATGTACCGAAATATGTCCCTTAAGTTTCGACTTAGTTGGCTTCTGCTTGGATGGTGTAGGACTTTGTGGCTGTGTTGTGCTACGGCCCGTCAGCAATCTGCCCTGAAGGTCAAGACTTGGGTCCAACAGTCAATCTTGCACACGGTCATTGTATGGTTGGCTCGTGTTAAATTGGTTTGAAAAGCTGCAGGGACAATAGTTTTAGCATACAGTCTTTGAATTACGGATAATAAACCAACCTCTTTGAAGTGTCAGTTGAAACGGACATTGTGATATAGGTGGCGGTGTAGATAGATACCAAGTTGTATTAGTTACTGCGTTGCGGGGCCTTGAAAGCGGAATATATAATACGCTTGAAGCTCCATCTCTCACTAATGCGTCTATCGCATCCTCACAATTGTGGCTAGCCACAGTACTGTTCATGGCCGTGGAATGGCAGTTCGCACAATGGAGCAAAGTCGATAAACAGCACAGCGATACTGGACTTGACTGAACTGCGCCATTGCGAATCAGGGCAGACGCCCAGAGGTTTGACTGAAACAAAGACTGTAAGTGGCGGCATACAGAGCTGCTGATTGGTCTTTGCAGGGGGAACTCAGCGAATGAGGTTGATAGGGATGGGACTAGACACCTGCAGGGCGTCTCAAGCTTCCACAAATGTGTAGAAGGTCTACGCATTTGTGTAGGAGAAACGTCTAACAGAATGGTCCCTCTGAAGTCCAACCATGGATCTCATGTTCTCGCCGTTGCTTCAATGCTGATGTCCGGTATCTGTTTGTGAGGTTATTGCTGAGGTATCAACACGTGCACCATAATAGCACTCTTTTTTTTTTTTTTTTTTTTTTTTTGCAAACCTCCTAAATCTTCAAAATGCTAGTGATCAGCTTGATTATCGCTTCCGCATCAAGTCAGGGGAATGTCTGTAAACTGTTGTGTGGCTCCCACACAACCCGCCCAGGCGAACTGCGCGAACATGTAATGCAGAGCCTGACCTACTATGTAAGCGATGAAAAACAGCCTTGTCGCAACTACTCAATTGTGTAGGAGGCAGATAATTGCCTTGTTTAAGAACTCGAAAGCCGCTTTTCGTGTTGAGGTGTTTTCCTTCTAGAGCTCCAGGAGCCATTCGATTCGTTTTGTTAACAACCCTTGGGCCCCCATTCAGTCAACATACGCATTTTATCTTCTCTTTGTTTTGAGTTTCACACACATAAAGTATATTGAACTTTCAAGTCACTTTCATTCTCCTTAAAACCAATCGCTCATTGTATCATGGACACCACATTTTATGCAAAGTTCCGCCGCCACAAACCCTCCCGACGGGACTCCCTTGCATCTGCGGCCTCGCACAGAAGGTTACCCAAATGGCTGTTGCACTTCTTGAAGAAAAAGTTCCCGCATGACTCGGAGACTCCTCTAGACTCAAAAAGAAGCTCCTCAACTCCATCGCACAGCAGTGACAGCTCTGGTGATGACGTGGTGGTTTACAGCGACACCGGCTACCCTAGGATTGACGGGGATCACCAAGTGGCGACAATCGACTCTGAACCAGCTATTTTGAGGTTCCTGGACCGAATTACACAGAGGATCAAATTGGAGTTGGACCTAGACAACAATGATGGCCACAAAACCCATGGATCTGGTCAGAAACGCCATGCAGACAACCCCAATCAAGGAAGCCATGAGGAGAAGAAACAGAAACAAGGTCAAGGACCCCAAAATACTGGGGGTGGAGGCGGAGGTGGAGGCGGGAAGAAAAACGGCGGGGGAAATGGTGGAAAGCAACCCCCGGCGGACGGCCACAGGTACCCTGTCCCGCCCCCGCACAGTGGCCCCCAGAAAAAGCTCCCTTTCGCATGTCCCTTCCACAAGTTCGATCCGGTCCGCTACGATTGCTGTGGTAGTGTCCGGCCGAAACGCCCCTGCGATGTCTCCCAACACATTAAGCGATGCCATTCTCTGAGGGACGTCAAGCAGAAGACTGCTAACACCGAACACGCGAACAACGCTGAATCTGCAGACAACAATGAACTCGCAGGCAATGCTGAAGCCGAGGAAGAAGTTTCTTTCTACTGCCCAAAATGTCGCATGGAATTTTTTGGCACTGCCGCTGAGGCCAATCTCCAACAGCATTTGCCATGTCAAACACCTCAGCCAGCGACGATTGAACAGACCGGGATGCTGCTGCCTGCAGAGTTTGCTCAACTTATTGCTGCACGGAACAAGGCGTCTGGCGACATTCCTAAGTGGTACGCTATGTGGAAAGCTTGCTTGCCAAACCAACCTGTCCCGAAATCACCATATTTTGCTCTTCCTGGTCAAGAGGCAGTGGTTGAGACATTGGCTGTTCTACCTGAGGTTGAAGTTGAGACACTTGCTCCTCGCTCGCAGGCGGGAGAAATCATCCGCCGAGCTCTCAATGATTGCCTTTCCCACTTCTTTCTCGCTGAAGACGAGATCGATGTGATCGTCAACCAGGCCTTGAATGGACTTTACCCTGGGTCTTCCGGGGCCGAACCACAGACAAGCACAGATACCCGTTTGGAGGTCCAACAGAGGCAGATGCCCCGACGGCAAATGTTCCAGCATCAGATATCACAACAGCCACTTAATGATGCTGTCACTTCCACTGTCTTTGGCCCATCTGCCTTTCCCGCCGCTCCCCAAGCCTATCCACCATCGCATCAACTGTACCAAAATCCTTCTGACCCTGCACCCTTTGCCCCCACTCCTCGAGTCGTTCCAAAAGCAAACGCCCAGATACAGAAGCCTTACTATGGTGCTCCTTTCGCTGATGCTACAGTCCTCGCTCTGCCTCCTCAGCATAGCCCTCAAATGTCACCTCCGGCGGCGGATATTGAAACAGGCCCTCCTGTGCCTTTTCGCTCAGCGCCTGGACCTGTAGCATCAGAGACCTTGCCAGCGTCTCAAGCCATGAACAACTCTTCCCTTTATGACGTCAATGACGACATCTTCGATGGCACTGGGTTTCCTGTGCCCAACCAGAATGGTGCTAATGTGTCTAGATTCCCTTCTCTTGAAGGCAATGGTTTCCCCATGAATAATGGCATTGACTATAATGGCCTCCCGTGGTGGAGCAATAATGGTTATCAAGACCCTAATTGGAGTAATGGTTTATGACTTAGTCATGTAATGGTTTAATGATTAATTGGCAACTCATAGCAGATGCCTCACGAGTTGATGGTCGCATGGGAAAATGATATTGGGGAGTTTTGACGGGTAGAACGGTCTACTTTTACTTTAGAGTTCCAGCGTGGGATAGATTTGTGTTTGAAGTTTCGATTGAACTTTGGTTTAGTTCTCTTGAGAATACACGTCTTATTAACTAAAACAGTATACTATTGAAGGCCAACCTTCATGAATATGGTTATTGGAAATGCCTTTCAGCTTTGCATCTCTATTCATAGGATGAGTGCCGCCATTGGTCAGTCAGACTTCATTCGACCATTGATGCCCTTTGACCCACAGGGTCCTTCCTCTTCAATTTGCCAAATTGATGCTATTCCCAACTTACCTTTGGGAGCCTTGGGCGACGGATTGGGCTTCCCTTCCCCTAAAGGCTAGACGGTTTCTTTGCTTTATTATCGTAATTGTCCTTATCTGGTCTTCATAAGATCGGTCAAGGCAACCCACTTCAAGAATTCTATATCATTTAAACTTTTAGCATCTTGCACAATGCCTTCCAATGAATTCTTCCAATCTCCATCCAATCAACACACAAGATTACTTCACTGGCAACCAAGCTTATTTATTGCGTTATGTAAGGAAGTCATCTAGGCCCTCTACTCATTGCTAAAAGCAGAAGACCAAAGATTCTTCTCAATCTTAAACCACAAGACATCCACAACAGCCTTCGCAATGCGCGGCGGAGGAACGACGGCTGCTTTTCCGCTGCCTTTGATGACAGAACTGTTAGAAAAAGGGTCTTGTACAAGTTCCATCCAACTCAACAGTTAGATGGCAGTAAGTTGCTTGAGCAGCTCGGCTGATCCAAATCTGGGATAGGAAGAGGCTGGGAAGGTGGAAAACAACACCATAGGAATATCCTGTTGACGAGTCTCAAGAGTTCACGATGCATGGTGAATTTCAAGAAGGCATGCTGATATATTTTCAGGCTTGCTGCGAAACAAGTAGCCTGATATGAGCCTCCTTGATAGAGCTCTCTATGTCGAACTACTCTTTATCCAGACAGACAAGATCATCTTCCTCTTGGACCATCTCCCCCAGTAAATCCTCGAGTGCTAGCTCGTACAAGACACGCTGAACGCTCTTGCCCTGGTCATCTGTCAACTCCTCGTGCTCAAGACAATCAGAGACACATTGAGACCCATGTAACGCCCAGAAGTCCCGCATCATGGAGATACTCAATCCCAATCCTCGATCCAGATACGGAGAGGGTGGGTTCTTTGATCCAGGGAAAATAACAGACCAAATACGATACCAACATCTCCTTTCACCAAATTGCCAAGAGTCTCCTCGTATTAACTTTGACTTCTGGCTCTCATTGAGACCATATAAGGGACCTACATCGCGCTTCTGGCACGTTTCGCTTAATACGTGGTTATCGCGTTCAATAAGCGTGTTGAATGTCTTGTAGCAGATTAAGCAGTGAATCGGGCGTGAATGGCATCGAAAAAGGTGTTCTTTTAGATCCCTAATAGATTGTAGATCATCTATAAGCAGACACTTTTGATATTTGTCTGGCGCGTAGATCTGAAAGGGGCAGGCAAGATGAAAAAATGATTTAATGCGAGCGGGTTGAGAAACCACTACTAGCTCCTCATCGCTGATGTCATCTTCATCTTCTGTTTGCGTATAAACTGACCGCCCAGATGACTTTTTGCACCTTTTTCGAGGGGGCAGTCTATCCTCTCGCGGTTCAATGTATTTTGTTTCTACTCTCCACTCCTCAAAGAGCTCGAGTGCTTGTGTCTTTATCTTGTGTCTCTGATCCTCAGGCACAGCAGTCAGGAACTGGCTCTGTTCCCAAAGATCGATGCTTTCACCTTCAGACTGATCGCTTGAAGATGGTGTTTCATATTTGGCCCCATATTTTGGGGACAGGGGAGGTGTGGCACAGCCGTGTAGTGGTGCACTGGGTGGATAGCCGACATAAGATCGGCATTGGTTAGCCCTGGTCCGTTTGACGCCTCTGGTGGCTCCAGAAGGCGTTGAGGGGCCATTTAGAGGCTGTGAATTCAGGATTTCCGGTAACTTGCTGACGCTTGACTGCGCCATCACATTATTGGTCTGGTTTTGAGAGGTGGGCTTTGGTTGCCGAATTGGCATTGATAAAGGGCAGCAACCGCAAAGAAACATTTTGAAGAAGGCCTTGAGCCGCCTCATAATAACAGCAAGATTTGACATATTCATGGTCGACGCATGAACTAATCAATTCTCCAGGCGGGTTTATAACTGAGCAGGTATTTTCCAGCGAGCCTTCTTTCGGAATCAAGACACAGCACAACTGTGTGCACACAAATAGGTTGCACAGGCTAGATAGGCATAGGACAACCAGCCAATGATAGAGGATTGACTGGCACGGGACTAAGCGGGTAGTGGAGCCACTTTCACAACAGCCAATCAAAAACATGCCCTTTCCACAGATGTGGAAGGGGTTGAAATAAGTTGCGTCAACCCTAGGACCAAGGCGGACTTGGCAAAGCAGGCTGTGCAATTGTGAGCGTATAGGGATCTGACTGACGTGGGCCTAGCTTTATTAATGGTCATAGTGAATGCCACAACTGCGAAGCTGAACTGAAGTCCAATCACCTGGTTGACAAAAGGACAAACGTGTTTTGCTCAGATGATCCGAAATATGCCGTATTTGGCCAAATCAGCCGCAAGAGAGAATGCGCTACATTGCCAAGCATTTGAGGACGCCACAGCTTGACATTAGGAATTTTAATTTTTTTTTTCACATGCCTGCCAATAACCATACGGATTCCGGGATGATTCCGGGATGCGCCATTTCACGATAGGCAGAGAAACCTAAAGGGGCATGATAAAATTAGATAATTATCTTGATGGCTTTTACTACCTATTAAAAACTGCAAAAACAGGCTCTCGTAACCTGTTCCATGACTTAAGGCAGCTGTGCAGTGCTAGGAATTTACAATTCTATTTAAATAGTTAATGTATTACTTTTAAACTGACTTTTATAAAAGTGTTACTTTTAATCAGTAAACCTTATAGCTAATACTTATATTATAGACCTCATGCAGGCATTATGCAAGTAGAAATCTCCTCAGAATTAGCGAAACAACGTTCATGTTGTGTAAATTAATGCATCCATGGAACCATAAGATCCCACGAGCTTTCACGATATCCATTCTTCGCCGCGCTCCCCCAGAAGTTCCTACACGGCGACCGCCGCATCGCCGCACGACTTATCAATCTGCGGGCCGCACCACGCCGCAGCGGCATCTGCCCTCTGAAAATGTGGACTATCAGACGATTACGCCGCCACGGACACTTTCGGTAAAGCCTCTCCGGCAATTCTCCATGGGTGGTAGATCTTGGTGCTTTGATTCTATTGGTTGAGGGGTGGGTGTTGTATGTGAAACGATATACATCATGGTGCAGATATCATGAAGCTCGTGCAGATACGGGAGACCTCGTTGACTCGGACTGTAACGCTGATGAGATAAACAGTCAGTGCTTTGTATACATGTACTGATTAACTGTGGTATAAATATGATGGTGTCGCGCTCAAGTTGGTTCTCACTCATCACCTCACAGAACTTCATTGCAAACACCAATCTCAACAACAACAACCACAAAAACTTCATCATGGCTATCACCAAGTACAAGGCCGCTGCTGTCACCTCCGAGCCTGGAGTAAGTCCCAACACTCCAACACCTTGAACTTCACTAACAATATCCAGTGGTTCGATCTTGAGGGCGGTGTTCGCAAGACCATCGATTTCATCAACGAGGCTGGCCAAGCTGGATGCAAGCTCGTCGCCTTCCCCGAAGTTTGTATGTTTTCCCTCCCTATCCCCTCAGCCTCATTGCTGACATTTCCAGGGATCCCTGGATATCCCTACTGGATGTGGAAGGTCACCTACCTCCAATCCCTCCCCATGCTGAAGCGCTACCGCGAGAACTCCATGGCCGTCGACTCCGAAGAGATGCGCCGCATCCGTCGCGCAGCTCGCGATAACCAAATCTACGTCTCTCTCGGCTTCTCTGAGATCGACCACGCAACTCTCTACCTCGCCCAAGTTCTCATTGGCCCTGATGGCTCCGTCGTCAACCACCGTCGCAAGATCAAGCCCACCCACGTTGAGAAGCTCGTCTACGGAGACGGCTCCGGCGACACCTTTATTTCCGTCAGCGAGACTGACATCGGTCGTGTTGGACAGCTAAACTGCTGGGAAAACATGAACCCCTTCCTCAAGTCTCTCAACGTCTCTGCTGGTGAGCAGGTCCACATCGCTGCTTGGCCTGTCTACCCTGGAAAGGAGCGCCAGGTTGCTCCCGATCCCGCAACCAACTACGCTGATCCCGCTTCTGACTTGGTCACTCCCGAGTACGCCATTGAGACGGGTACTTGGACTCTCGCACCTTTCCAGCGGCTGTCTATTGAGGGTCTCAAGATCAACACTCCCGAGGGTGTTGAGCCAGAGACTGATCCCTCTGTTTACAACGGCCATGCTCGTATTTACCGCCCTGACGGTAGCTTGGTCGTCAAGCCTGAGAAGGACTTCGATGGCCTCCTCTTTGTTGACATTGACCTGAATGAGACTCACCTCACCAAGGTTCTCGCTGACTTTGCTGGTCACTACATGCGCCCTGACCTGATCCGCCTTCTGGTTGATACTCGTCGCAAGGAGCTCATCACCGAGGCTGACGCTAATGGCTCTATTGCTACTTATACCACTCGTCAGCGCCTTGGTCTTGACAAGCCTCTTGACGACAAGAAGGGTGAGCAGGAGACTCCCGAGATTGTCTAAAGTGGAAATGAGCTGAAGACAGATGTTTCAGTTAAAACAAACTCTCATGGTGATGGTCGGATGTAAGATAGATGTGTTGGACATAAATTGAAAATCTGGATTATGGTTGATATTATCACGACGATTATGCCTGCCTGGTCCTGTGAATGAAGTAAGGCGTATACAAGAGCGAGAACAGTAGCTAGATTTCCCCGTCTAATGGTACCGAACTAAGATAAAGAGCCACGCATTTAATCCAGCATCTTAGCATAGGGCCCTACCATTGCCGAATGAATTATCAAGATATGTTTCCTTTGATCATGTGGTGATAATGTCCTCCTAGGCCAACATCGTTCCCTTCGCTCCTTGTATGACTGATGATTGATGACGAATGTAATAACTCCGTGTCTGATCAATCTCTCTGGAAAGTAAATTTAGCGCAATGCGACAAAAGGTGATTCATATACCTACAATTGTATTTTAACAGTCATAGTAGCATACGTCATCGGGGTTATTATCTTTACCAGTACAACCTCCATTGGGACAACCTTGAGAACACTTGCGGGGCTCGGTGTAGAGGCATTTGTTAGCCTCGACTGCGCTGAATCCAGCAGCAAGGAAGAGGAGAAGAGTGGTCAAGTTGATCTGCATTGTCGGTGTATGTTGAGCGATAAGGTAATAACAGGTGATGGAATTTTTGGTAGGATTGTCTAGAGGCTGAAGTATAAAGGTCCAAAGCAAGATATTTGTCTAGCTCAGGCTTATATACACTCTTCGAATGCGGCACAACTGTTCCTGCCGTGCTAACCTAATGTCTTTTGACGGACCGGTAGTGGATATAGGCATCTCGCTTATACTTCTTGAAATTAGTTATGATAAACACTTTAAGTGCTCTGAATAGAGGAGAGGACTATAAGATACTCCACAGCCCCATTACAGACTGTCAGGTGTGTATAGCATGAACCTTGGCTAAAGTTTAAATCTGACGTTTCGAGGAAGACGGTGAGGCGTTGTGGCTCTTAAACTTTAGAGATCCCTGGAAGTAGCACTCTATCTGGAGCAGGGACACGTAAGTTTAACGTCTTTGCTTCCCAAATGTCAAGTTATGACCTGCATATACCTATAGGTGTAAATATATGCAATTGGCTTTCTCAGGAGTGCAATTTAAGAGCATTGGGTGTCCTAGGGCTGTATATTAGCTATATACTACTTAATTCGAGTTTGAAGTAACTGGCAGCACTGAAAATAGAAGGGAACATTAAGGTTAGTAGTAAAATGGAAACAGATATTAATGTCTGAGAGAAAAAAGCAAGTTTGCCTTCAAATAATTGGTTTGGGATCTCGAAAGTCATCCAATAAGATCCGGCCGCGTGGCCTAATGGCTAAGGCGCTAGATTTCGGTCCTCAGCAACTGATCCCTCTAGAGATTCCAGGTTCGACTCCTGGCGTGGTCGATTGACACAGGTGGTTTTTCTTTTTTGACTTTTACTCCGATTTTTAACTGTATAAATCTATTCATTTTTACTATAGTGTCTTTACTGATGGCCGAAATATTAATGCAGCTTTTCTTATAATATAAAATTTAAGCATATCTAGTTAATATCCAGTTTTGTGAATTCCAGCCTCCCTTGAGAAATCTCCACCGTCTGTCAGGAATGTCGCAGCCGTTATGACGCGACATATTATCAGTAAACACTGCATTAGGACATAGATATGTCTTGGAGTCTGTTACCTTAAGTTCTGGCTACGCGCTGCTTATTTGGAAAAATTGCCGTCTTGCCAAGAACGCCATTTCTTAACTTTAACTCTCACAAGCTTTTTCCCATTCCCTCAAGCTTATTTCAATGCGATGAAACTAACGCTCATCGTCGTGGCCTCCTATGCAGTTTCAGTCTCTGCTCATTATCTCCAGATACTCGAAGAAACCAGCACCTGCCACAACCGAACCGATGCGAGAAGAGATGCACGCGCTGCCGGGTGCATGAACGTCAGCAATTACGATGTCAGCGGAACGTTATGCAATCCCTCTGGCTGCAATTGTGACTGGGGATGTATTGAGAGTGACGGGGTCTATGATACGTGGAGATCACACGTATGCCCCGATAGAGTAGGAGTAAGTTGGCCCCCAGAATTTCACTGCGAGGAGATTTCTGACCTGGAATTGCTACAGAGCGATGTTTGTAGCGATGCCTAATTTGGATGTTCGAGGAATGGAATGAAATGAAAGCACCCTGTATTTGTGTCTTAGATGGAATGCGACTAGATACCGTTGAGTATGTTGTCCACAGATCAACATTGGCGTACATTAAGCTTATAAAAAAGACTTGCATAGGATTGGCATGAATTAAATACCCCAGTCGACCATACATTCTTCTCATGGAGACTTGTACCTAAAAGAAAACCTCACCTCCCGACATATTCCCGCCAGTC